ACTCAGTTTTTAGTTTTTTGTATTTTGTTTTGTGGACAGTTGTTTGTCTTTTGGTCGATTTTTGTTTTGCCATGCATGGCACATTTCCTAATATGTTTAGGAAAGTATAAAATAACAATCCTTTCATGTTTTCTTTATACGCTCATACTTTTAAGTTCCTTAAAATGTCATCGGAATATCATTTCATATTAATCTCATAAAACCGACCTTTTATGGTGCTATGGTTATCTTTAGCCTAACATATCTAGGTATACTATACTGATATTGTTTTAATGCATAATTTTGCTGCTCTCTAAATAACCTTTACTTATTGTTTGTCCAATTTCTTATAGACGTATACACTACACCTCATTTTATCCATACTTATAGCTGATAACTGCTTTTAAACAATAGTCAAAATAGGAAACAATCAATGAAGTACTGATCTTATGACATATGTTTTGCTAACCTCATTTTTGAGAAATTTCATTTCATCTGCAAAAACCGAGCGAGGAAAACAAAAGTGAGACAACAACAACAACCCAGCAAGTAAACTAAAAATACACATTTAGAGATTACCAAAAATATACACCGTACACACAATGAATATTTCAAATGAACTAAATCAGGCTGTATGAATTCAAAAGTGACGATAAAAGATTTGCCATCAAGACCTATGGACTAATTGGCTCAAAACTGTACTTGATGAAATCCATTGAAATAAACATAGCTTGTGTTATACCTGTTAGCTCGTTCATCGAACACTGTTCGCCCAGATGCAAGTCCTCTGCTGTTGACAGAATTACATGTTAATTGTAAATGTTCTAAATCACCGTTTCATAATCCAAAGGACTATAGGTAATTTCATTTTCGTACCCAAAAATATGAGAATGACGTCAAGTCATTTGTTGAATTTCCATTATAAGGACGTTTTCAAATACCCATAAAACATTCAATTTTGGAACGTCGAATCGCTCTATAACCCCATGACAATTTGATGCAAGAGATTGTTCATGTTTAGTTCAGTCAAACTGCTATTTGCGTTACAACACTTTATATATATATGTCTTTTTAAACACTTGATCATATATGGTTATCATAACAGTAAACGTTGGCACTGACAACGGAGTTTTACGTTTATATTAAACAATCTCATTTTGGGTATTCTGGATCCTCTTTTATCTTTTTTAACAATAGATACAATCAAAAACATGCTCGAAATGTTTAATCCTAGTTTCTTCAATAAATGTAAGCATAATTTTAAATAATAAACCTTTACATTATTTGAAAGTAAATTTTTTTTTCTTTCTACAGGTACACATGAAATTGAAATATGAACAACTGATCTATTAATTTCAGAAAACCTTTTGCATTGTCAATAATAAATAATGGTATTAATTATTTTTGGAGTGTTAAAAATTCTTTAGAGGTTTTAGATAAAATACATGCTTTTGATGGTCCTTTTAATTCTGTTGACAGTTATGATTTTTCTACTCTCTATACTACACTTCCACACAATCTTATCAAGAAAAAGTTTTCATATTTAATTAAATGGTCTTTTGAAAAATCTCATTACAAATTTATTTGCTGTAACTCGTTTAAAGCCTTTTTCTGTAACGAAAAAGGAAAGTATGCTAGATACACTTACTGGAAATGTGAAGATATGATTGAAGCTTTAAATTTTCTCCTGGACAACATATATGTACGTTTCGGCGATAAAGTGTATCGACAAGTAGTAGGTATTCCTATGGGCACTAACTGCGCCCCTTTAATAGCAGATTTATTCCTGTATTGCTATGAATCTCAGTTTATGACCAAACTCAGTAAAGACACGTCATTGTTATATTTGGTTGATACATTCAACAATACCTTCCGTTATCTAGATGATATATTTAAATAATCCAGAGTTCTCTAAATATACTACCGAAATTTACCCAATAGAACTTACTTTAACTAAATCTAACATAAACAGCAGTAGTTGTCTTTTTCTGGATTTGGAAATTTCAATCTCTAAAGGAAAACTCCATACGAATATTTACGACAAAAGAGACGATTTTTCATTCCCTATTGTTGATTTTCCTTTTTCAGACGGCGATATTCCTTTGGCTCCATCATACGGTTTTATATATCCCAACTCGTTCGTTATGCCCGATATAACGAACGTAATCAATGCATCACTGGTAAATTATTAAGTCAGGGATTTCGTTACCATAAATTACGTAAAACTGTTGTTAAATTCTTTCATAGATACAAAGATTTGATTAGTAAATTTGGCTGTACTTGTAGATAACTGATTAAAAACGGTATTTCACATCCTAAATTTTACGGTAATATTGTACTTAAAGCGCGGAAATCACTATGTGATCCGTGTGAACTAATCGAACCTTTAAACAAACTTATTAGTAAAGATTATGTTACCAATGTTGTAATTAGATCTTTGAATATATGTTTACATTGGCACTAATATCGATTTTGTCATCAGCAAATTAAAACATAACTAAATTTGTATTCTTTTCAAACGGGATGTGTAAAGACACACCCACGTTCATTTTTATCTATGAAGAGGTTAAACTCCTAACTATCCTACTGTCTGTCGATACATTTATTTTTGGCATTGCACAAGTCATGTCTTCTTTGACTGTCCATGACGTTAAAATACTAAATCCCTGGGATGTGTTTTAGTTGATTTTAGTCTTTGCTGCATGATTTTTTATTATTAATTGTTTTGGCTTTTAACTAGCTGTCAGTAACTGCGAGTACTCTCAAATCGTACTTTCTTGTTTATTTGACCTGTTGATACTAATTGTAATGCTTTTTTGTTATCAAATGTTATTCAGGGTTATATCTGGTCTATATACCAGCTTTGATAAGTGTTTGGTATTACTATAAATTTTCACTTCGTACTATGAACATCAAAATTATTTTTTTTGTAAATATATTTCCTTTCTCTATTCGAACTGTACACGTATACCTTACAACAAAATTATTTTCATTTGCCTGTGTTTAAAGTTATTGCAAATGGCTGATATTTTTGTTCGAGCATATTGTTTAACATTTCATACCGATATAACATGTTACTTTTATTATTCTTCCCTTAGTTTATTTATTTATTTTATATTTACATTGTATCATAGGTCAAATTTATTTGTTCAGTGTATGTTCACTGGTGTTAATATGTCCTTTGATTGAGTTAAGCTATTTCAGTTGATATTTTATAGTGTGTCTTTCTATGTTGTGATATTACACTATTGTTTCAGAAAAAAGGTGAAGGTTTGGTACCATTAAAACGTTTAAACCCGCTGCATTTGTTTGCACCTGTCCTAAGTCAGGAATCTGATGTTCAGTAGTTGTCGTTTGTTGATGTGGTTCATAAGTGTTTCTCGTTTCTCGTTTTTTATATAGATTAGACCGTTGGTTTTCCAGTTTGAATGGTTTTACACTAGTAATTTTTGGGGCCCTTTATAGCTTACTGTTCGGTGTGAGCCAAGGCTCCGTGTTGAAGACCGTACTTTGACCTATAATGGTTTACTTTTATAAATTTTGACTTGGATGGAGAGTTGTCTCAATCTCACTCATACCACATCTTCTTATATCTATTTAGAGTTATTTCCAGATATAATATATAACTATTCAGAAAAAAAAGAACTTGTCTTCTTATTTTCTGACTTTCTAATTTGATAGTGGCTGTTCTTTGAGTCGCCATCACTGTGAGCATCTATACTACTAAAATAACGAGGTCCAACTTGTTAGCCGGCATGACGTAAAAACGACGAATTAAAGAATTCGACTTTATATATAACTAATATAGGATAATGGTGTTGATTAAAAATTACACCATTCCAGGCCCCTTTGTTTTCCACACAATTAATATAACCAATAATTAACAAGTTCCGGGTCAAATCCGATATAGATACTAATAGTATATGTCACAGGTAGTTTCCTGTTGTAGTTTCTTTCTTTGCAGTAAATTCTTCCACTATCTGGAGCACCACTGGATATCTGTGTAACAGAGCAGCGGATTTAAAAATATGCGTATTCCAAAACTTCTTCTGCATGTGCGGGCCTACGTTTACGTATTCGCAACTACACAGTAGTAAGCAAACCAGGACGGGTTAAAACAGAAAGATTTTGAAAACAGAGAAAACTGTGCACCTTACAATTAGCATAACTTTATCAGATGACAATACAAATACTAAAAATCAAGGCTAAAAATAAGACGTAGGTACTTTAATTCAGTCACGGACACACGATATCGCGGGTGTATTCTAGTATCTTCTATAAAGAGATTTAATGTCAACAGGAAGAATTATTGTGTTTTCCTTTTTTTGACAGTTTCCATCCGCAAGCTTTGGTTACTATAGTTTCGCTAACAGTAGTCTGGAACATACATTCTATGCTTTTTATATTGAAATAGGATTAATAAAACTTAAACATCGGTAGACTACTGTTGCCACTGAAGACGTATTCAACACTATTTATCCCGTTTGGTGTCTTATCGTCTATAGTTGTTCAAGTCTATCCTAGGTTTTTGATGGTTTCAATGGCTACATGCATGTCTAATATAAAAAAAAAACTGTTTGAAATCATACAGACCGATTTTTCTAAAACTGAGCTAAAAATTTTCCAACAGTAAACGTATTTAATAATCTCTCAAGTTGATAATCCTCAAAACTTCAAAACTTCGAATTCAGATGAATTCTATCAATCAATAAATGTCAATGAATAAATCTATTGTTAAGGCATTTTGTGATTTGAGTTATGACCATGGCATACTTAGATGTTCAATCCGAAGGTCTATGAAGATTATAATACATCAGAAATATTTACAAAACTTACATTAAACATTGTGAATGATTTAAACGTTCTAAACCATGGAAATTCCACCAAATGCGTGGCATTATTTTTATTTTGAAGTACGAACAATTATATTACCCATATATTGTCCTATAGATTCTGAGACGGCGAATTACTCGTATATGGAGTTTGAATGTACAAAGTGATTGTTGACGAAAAAATCAAAACAATGTGATGTTTCTTATATTTGCATGAATATCGTACAAAATGTGAATATAATGTATGTATCTTTTATTATTATCATCTCAATTTTTGTATCCAAAATAAAAACAGCGTATTCCATTCAGACATAAATGAGGGAGCAACAATTTGAATTCTGTTTTTAAACAGCAATCGGTCAAACGTTCTATCAGATATCAATTTAGAAATGTACCAGACAAGTTTCAACAGAAGCATTCGAATCAAAATCTTGATTGGCTTCCAGTTTATTCAAATACTTTTGTTTTCATTTCTTGCCTTTTTTATTCGAGTGTGAGCCTATGGCCACACACAATAAAAGATCTGCTCTTGTCAGATAAAAATCATGACACGATAGTCCAAAAAGAAGTAGACTTCGGATTGACATTAAAAAAACATCGAGGATCCTAGATCACTCAAATGCTCCATATGAATTCAAATGGTTGCTACCTTCTTCGTGTATGTATGAAATATTCTTTCTCACAACACACATATAAAACAAAGACCGAAGGTTCTGTATTTGATTAACAAAGCCTTAGCTTCCAAAAAAAAAATGAATAATCAATTTCATTTGATCAAAAAGGGCTGCTCAAGGTTTATACCCGTCAAAAGTTCCATAGAATATGTTAACAAATATACATGCTGTTGGTGCTGTATATCTATACAACTGATACGAATTCCTTCGAGTGAATACTGATAGCGCTTCCTGGTTCTTCTGTGCTAGGGATTTTTAAAAAGCAACCGATGAAAGTCAACTAATTTATAAATATCACAGATTGTCACTTGCTGGATAAAGTAGTCCTTGTACTACGTGATTCCATGCGGTACACAAAGATACAATTTAACCTGAAAAGATAAACATTTACTTATATATCTCTTTCAGCATAAAACGGGGATAATACTTACCAAGAAAGAAATGCAATTCATGTTCCATGATGTTCCAATAACGGAAATTACGACTAGGGATATGTACATGAACCTATGACGGGGTTAAACTAGTTTCTTCCATTCAACACTGTCTATTTTAATGTATGTTGCTTTAAGGTACTTTCCAACTCGATCAGGCGAGAGAAGAGTTTTATATAAGCGGGAGGTTTGGCTAGCAATAAAACCAGGTTCAACCCACCATCGATTCTTAAAATGTCCTGTACCAAGTCCGGAATATGGCAGTTGATTTCAAATAGTCCGTTTCTATGTATGTTAGGGTTTGGTTTTTTTTTGCAGTTCAGTGTTTCTGTTGTTCCGATGTTTTCCTCTTATAGTTACCTGGATTTGTTTTCGCTTAACCGATTTATGATTATTGAACAGCGGTATACTACTGTTGCCTTTATTTATATAGCTTACGTGAACAATATTAGGTTGTTATTCAACTATCAAGACTGTTCTATGTGTAATTTTCTATAATGTACTTATAATCGATTGTTACGATATCAATTCTTCTTAAATTATCATTTGCAATTTGTCGGACTAATATTCGCAAGCTGTGACAATTATCAATTGACATTGCATTGCCGCTTTGAAATTCATAACGTATCGATTCAATGATATTATTCGTAAATTTAACAGTTCCACTGGCAAAGTTGACCAAAACTTAAGTTCGAACTAGATTTGGCCTGTTGACGTTTTTTTTTTATTCGAGTGTCATTGATTAAACGTTTGTGGACAAAACGCGCGTCAGACGTACAAAATTAAAATCCGGGTATCTGTTTTTTATAGATCATCATATATTCAAGTATTTATACATCAATTGCTTTTAATTTTATGGGTTTTTTGCGCTTCTAGTAAAGGTAAATTCAGAAAAGCGTTTCGGACGCACCACATTTATAAAGTGTATTTTTTATTTCTTGGTGGACTCTTAAAAAATATATTTTAATCTTTTCAAAAAAAAATCTCAGCTTTGTAGGTGTTCTTTGAGGTTCAAACATCATTTTTTCGTATTTTTAAACATGCAACATTGATAGTCAAATGAATAACAATTTCAAGCCATATCCAAAATTCTACCGCAAGTATATAGCTGGGTATTACTTAACAGAAATAAACTAGTGCATTCATTTACGGAGATTTGTCGATAAAGAAAAACAAGAAACTAATATCTTAGAATAATTATCGAATTTGTTTTCAACAGCTATGCAAGGTGTTTAAAATACATATATGTGCATTTGATGGATACATATTATATTGTTTTATCAATTGTCATTATTTTAATCATCCGATTGAAAGCATAACTTGCGAAATTGACCATGCCTTTCTATCGAAAGTACGTAATTGCATTAGATTATAACCAGTTTTTTTTATCTTGTCCTGAATATTCATGAGATAATTGCTGCTGGGCGTTATCCAACACACAATTCTTCATTTATCATACTAACCATTTCCTCATTCTCTGACCAATTGTCACATAAACAATAGTGTTTAACAAACAATGAATACAACAAACCCCAACACTACGTTCTATTACTTGTTTACTGTCGATCTCTGTTTAACCTCAAAGTTTTTTCATAAGTCTTATATTGTCTGCAGAGAGCTTTTTTCTTTTTGTTATTCGATCTTTAAAAGAGAAGCAAAAGATGGACATTAAAACTCATAAGTCGAATATAAACTGACAACGCCATGTCTGAAAAAGGAATAGGACAAAACGACAAACAACAGTATACAAAACACAACATAGAGAACTAAAGACTGAGCAACACGAACCCCACCAAAGACCTGGGGTGATCTCAGGTGCTCCGGAAGCGTAAGCAGATTCTGCTACACTTAATAAAACTTACATCATCCATTAAACCATTGAATCCACCGAAATAATCACATGCTCCTAATATCAGTGCACTTGGTCTTTGTTCTATCACACCTGTATTAAATATATAGACTATATTAGGTCAAGATCAGCAAAATATCAACTTTTTTGTATGAGGCTTAGAAGCTTGGGAAGGGCGGGGTTTACCAAGCCCTTCAAAAGTTTCGTGCCGAATATTTAAAGTAGTTTTATTTCTGACATTGACCTAATATTGTTTTTTTACTGCATCTCAAAATGGCTACACTTATTGGTATTTAAATGTTTACACAAAAAATAAAATTTTTTGTTATCCCTAAACGATCTGCAGATTGTGAAGAAAAGTGACGTTCCATAAAATCGATATTGCACGAAATATCACTTTCTTACTATATTTGAGAAATAATTTAATGACGAAACAGGAAGTGTTCTAGCTGTAGCATAAATGTCTTTAAAAAGAGCTCATATAACAATATATTGTATTTGAATGTTTGACGACGCCAATAGCTAATTTTACTAAGTCACTAACGGGAAATTTAAATTGACGTTGACAAATTCTTAATACACTCGTTTAAAATGATATGGAAAGGCTAATTGCTTGATTAAAATTAGCGGTAACGTCATCATCGTTTTGCATAATGTGCGGTAGATATCTTCTCAAAATGTTGACGTCGTCGTAAATTAAATATACTAATTAGTTACAGTATATATGAATGTTTATTAGAATAAAGCTTGAGTATCATAGTTTTCTAGTTTTCTTGATATTTTCAGATATTCAAATTAGGCTCAGTAATACTAGCAGTATAACTATATGGTAAAATTACTGGTACATACCTCTCAGTGGGACTCTTGATGTCATGCCATTTACACTACCTGTTAGATATTTTCCATCATAAACAAAACTCAAAGTTTTCCATTCTGTACTCTAAAAAATGAAGAAAATGTCCTTTGATAAAATCAAAAAAGTTTTATACATGATGATTCAAATGTAAAAATTACCGGTTAGACAGATTTTAAAAAATGCCGCAGTTTCCATTTTTATTTTACATTTCGCAATCAGTTAAATATTCTAAACTTCGCAGTAGATAGTTAATCCCGCCCTATTCGGGTATATAAACCACTGTAGAATCATATTGATAGAATGAACATAGATATGTTCAAGAGTCTCAACTTTAAATGAGGTCCTCTTCTTATGAAATTTGACACTCTTATCAATAAATGGTAATTAGTATTGACAGAGAAAAAATAAACCAGTTCAAAAAGAAAATTTTGTTCGAAATAAAATATCACCAGCAACTACAAAACAAACCATCATTAAGATGTATACTCGACTTTAACAAAATCCTTTCTCGTAGTAGTCACCAATGACATGTGGATACTCACATTATACTTAAGAATTGCCATCTTTTCTCCTCCTTTATCTGTCGTTGCTAAGAACATTGCACCTTTATTTGGACTGATGGCTATATCAATCGATGGTCTCATTACTTCAGGGTTAAAACAGTTTGATAACAAATGCATTGGTTCTGTAGTCCGTGAATGTGGGTTTTCTTTGTATTTCATTGTTACTGTAAATTGGGATCCATACGAAACACCAGAAAACCGCCATAATCGAATTTTACCAGATCCATCGAATCGAGCAGCTCCACTTTCTATGTGAACATTTTCTGGTGTTACTGCCAAATTATTTCCAGATTTGTCATTGAATCCATCATGAAAGTCAAGAATGAGTTCAGGTCTGCATGCTAAACGATAAAAATAAATAATTTCATAAACAAAGTAGAAAGTGGTTTAAACTAGTTTGATAATGTAGTCGGATATCTATAACATATTTTAACATAGAATTGTTAATTGTCCTACTCAAATAAAGATTCTGTGAAGTAACAGATTTTTCTATGACCGCTTTTTAGATTCCCCTTTATATATTTCTAATGATGTTTTGAATTATATAGTTACAAAAACAACTGATCATCAGTTAGTTCCGCAGTTATATAGAAATTTCGATATGTTTTCGTTTTGCAGATGTAAATAGTAACAATGATTGTAGATTAAACCTTACCATGAAGTTACTTTTATATGTAGGTTTATTATCATTCCCGTGTTAGGTCAAAAGACATTTAGTTATTGTATTACTTAGAGACAGTTTTATAGGTTTATGTATGTTGTGTGAAGGTTATCTCTTGTTTATATATTTATGAATAACTAAATTAAACTTCGTTTTTGATATACAGTACGTACACTCTCTGCGGACATCATCACTTCTGTCGCAGGTGCAAAGACCCGGATTATACTGTGAACCACGTGGACATGATCTTGTCATCATTCCTAAACCAGGAATTTCTTCGAAATAAAATCTCTCGTTCGTTTCAAACGGTGACATTCGACAACTAGCTATAATGAAAAAGTATGTATACTATAAAAATAACAAAGAAATGATACCGGAAGTGTGGTGCACATTATGAGAAATGATTTGTAAACCATTTACTGTGGATTCATTTATTTTCGTGGGTACCAATTTTCGTGGATTAAGGAAAACTCACATGTTCGTGGATATTTAATTTCGTGGTTTTGTCAAAGTCTGCATACAGGCCTATAGGAAATTTGTCATTCGTTGAACATTTAATTTCGTGGTTCATCTGTACCCACGAAAACCACGAAAATTGGTATCCAACGAATAATAATGAATCCACAGTATACCTAAACACAAACAGATAACGATAATATTGCTGTGGACTGTTAATCCCAGATGATATCATCACCTCCGTAGTCAGTGCTTTGGTACTGACATCATTCAAAACATACATTTCTTAAATTCTCCGTTGATAAATTAAGAATTATTAAGATCCAACTCCCTGAAGCAAAGTTGACCGTAGGTTGATTTGGCTATTCTTTGCATGTCACATTGGGTCATATAGCTTCCCAAAAGTTCAAGTTTTTATACATCCTTAATTATTTTGGTATGACAACTAACAAATTAAAACAGTAAATAAAAAAGTGCGGAAAAAACTACCCAACAGACATAAAGATTGACGGACTGATGGACAGACGGACTGATGGACTGAGTTAAAACCATTCGACTTTGCCGATCGGTGACTAAAGCACGCAACAGCTCTCATATTGATAAAATACGAAACAAATAAATATTAACATAATCGTTTTTTTTTTCTTTTTAAATCGTTACACAGGGGGTTTATTTGCAGATATAAAGATATGATTTACAGATTCTTAATTTGTGAATTTACATCAAAATGCACCTAACATCATGCTGTGGAAACACGAACTTCATCTTTCTTTATTTTTGTGCACAGTTTAACAATACTTTATATTACCTGCAGCGAAATGCACTTATTTACCGAGCAAGTAACCTGTTGAAATGTTTGTAAAATGTCAACATTGAACCATAAACCAAAACGAGTCAGAGCGTTAAATGAAAATTTATGTTTTTTTCTGAGATAATTTAAGTACAACAGGACAAATGAACAAACAAATGAATTTGAAATTTTTTTTGGCGATTAACATTTTTGTGTTCCTAAAAACCTTAACATTTCTAAGGTTAAAATTCAATCGACCGGCTCAAATGACTCAAAAACTGACATCTCGATTCAAATTAACCTTTCTTGTACCTACCAAATGGTGATGTAAAAGTAAGGTCTCCAGAATCTTCACACCAATCGGTACATCCGGGTTCTGGAACACACTCTTGCTTTTCCTCACTGAATGCAAAACCGGTGGGACAACATTTTGCCTGTGATAAACCGTTACGACAGGTCCAGTGAGCTCTGCAGTTCCCTTTGTGGTCATATGAACGGACGGTAAAATCAAAACAGGGATCTGTTGATATGAATAAATGTAAGACCTTTAATTGCGTGTGACGTTAAGGCATATTAAATCATTTCACATTTTGTATTGGAAATATATTTAAATCAACTTGTTAAACGTAAATAATATTAAAGTGACAATTATAGAAAAAAAAATGGATATTGAAGAAAAATCATTCTTTTTCAAAATATCAAAATCAATATAAGAACGTTTAAAAATTGCATTTGCTTTTCTTACTGTTGACATTTGTGACAATGATGTATTCCTTTACCTCTCCAGCAAGACATAGACGTAGCTGGTCGGCACAGTAGTAGTCGCTGATCCCAGAACATCCGGAACGGACATCGTGCTCTCTCTACCTTTATCTGTCCGCCTTCATAGAAGCACTGTACGAATTCATTACAACTTTTAGGGTCTGCATTATAACCAACACCGTCGACATACTGACTTCCGTAGCATAAATCTATAATAGCATAAAAATTACTGATTTATATCTTGTTTATCATCGTCTTTTATAAAATCTGATCAAAGCTTTTTATTTACTTAGACTCATACTTCATGCTTTTTTAGCAAGGTTTGAACCTTTATTTAATTGGCAAACAAGACGTCTTCTCTAAACTTTAACTAATTAAAAGTACTATATATCCCAGTAAATTATTCCTGTAAACTGTGTGGTTCAAAGGACGATGTATAATGGTTGGTTGCAGTATTTGGCCCCTTTATTTATATTTTTGTCAACAGGTCAAAGTAAATATTTTGTCAAATCTATTTAAACAAAGTGTTGGGTACCCACTCAATCAATCTTAAATTCGACTTATTTATAAGTTCCTTTATTATGATAGGGAAAAACCTTTCGATTAGCAAACTTATGAATTATAAAAAGAATGCCTAATTCAACTTATGTTTGCCCATCAACATTTTCAGCGTGATGACAGGAATCATTTATAGATTGTGCCTCTGATAACACTGATGCATTTGTATAGTAATATTATTCTAGTTATTGTTGCAAGGACCATACTTACATAAGCTTTTGCTGATTAATGTTCAAAGTTACTTTCGAATGACAGTTTTACAAAATTTTCAATCACATTATTTACAATTTTGTAGAAATATCAAAATATTTTCGCACGCTCAATTGAATTATCGACTACATCATCTCATTAAACATAGCTTTTTTTTAAATAGAAAACTAAGATACATAATTCCTTGATGTAGGTCATGAAAAATCTTACTAAGTGAAGAAACACAAACTGATTGCCACAAGTACACCGAATATGAAATCATCAGAATGCTGGATTTTTTTATCGCCAAAATATTTGTTTCGTTTGGTTGAATGATAGGCCAGCAGACAGTCGGTATTCCAGTGGTCCACTTCTGGCCGACTTGTCTTGGTACTTATTTGACGCAGAATTCATACAGAACCTTCACAAAGACTAAACGAAAAAGTATCTTCCAAAGTTCATTAATTTCACATTCAGATATATATTGATGATGGTTTGTCACTCAATAAATGACATTGCAAGGACTGCTTACTTCTAATATATTCCAGTAAACTTGAAATTAAGGATACTATCGAAAGCAGAAAGTCTGCTTCAGATCTAAATCTATTTCTCGATCATGTCGATATATATTGCACAGATGGACGACACTAAACTAGAATCTATGACATACGTGATGATTTCAACATTCCATTTCTCAGCAGTAACATACCCTTTGGTACACTCGATCATGTTTACACTATATGGAATTCATTAACATGGGTGCTTTCCATTCACAAAAGCTGCTTCAACAGAGTTATAAGGAAGATCGGCTGAAATCGACACTACTGGTTGACCGATACGATGTGTCGGTGTCTCAAATCGCAAGCGACATTTTTTCGCAGTCTAATAGCTTTAGTTTTAGTTTGTAACCCGGATTTGTTTTTATCTGTATCGATTTATGAGTTTCGAACAGCGGTATACTACTGTTGCCTTTATTTAGATACCAGTACAGTTGTCTGATCTGTAATTTTACCGATTGTGTCCTATTCCCGATGGTGACATACTTACAGAAAAAGTATAACAAAAATACCGAATTCCAAGGTAAATTCAAAAAGGGGAAATCCATGAAAACTGACAAAATCAAACGTTATCAACCAACGGAAGGAGTATCAAACAACTGCCATATTCCTGACTTAGTACAGGCATTTTCCCAAGAACATGGTGGGTTAAACCAGGTTATATTGCTATCTAAACCTCCCACTTGTATAACAGTTGTTTATATTTCTGTTATATTGACAGACTTTGGTAAGCAACCCAAACAGACGCAATATGTTAGTTTGACAATAATTGAGATACAGCAGCCAAAACTGTGTAAACATACATCACATACATACAACACAACTGACTAAAAAATTCAAACAAACATACAGATAAATCTTACAGAGACGCCAACAAAAAAGTTGTATTTATAGTAAATTTGACAATGACATCAACAAAAACGTTTTTTGTTTTTGATAGTATATTGACAAAGTGTGAATTCGCATGGCGGAGGTTGCAAACATAACAGGAGACCTTACAATGTCGAAGCACATAGTCTTACTCATTTTGTTGTTCATTCTTTAAGTTTCTGTATCACAAAGTATTAAAAACTTTCTTTCAACTAATGGTCAGTGATATATATTTCTATATTTATCACTATTTTAGTGTGCAAGTTAAACAAACAAACAAAAAATATAAAAACAGGTGTGCACCTGATCTGTCAATTTTTTAAATGTGATTTTAATACCTTATAGAATTGTTTACTAAAAAGAAGACAAACATTTCATACACTGTTAACAAACTTATATAAGCGACCGATTTATTTTCGCGACTTTCGAGAGTAGAAAAATAACGCAAATATAAATAGTCGCGAATACATCAACTAGTATCCTTCGTATAGGAATACACGAACAATGTTAGAATATCACCGCGAAATCGGCTTAGAAGGAAGGCTACAACCCAGAAAACAGAAGTATCTACGAAAGTAAGTTGGTTGTAGGTTTTATATATATCATCTTCCTGGACACGATTCAAATTTCTAGAGATAATAATAATATTTTATATCATTGAAAGTGTAAAATTTTGTCTGAACGTAAAATTTGTGTATACATTTGGATTAAATAGTATATTGAAACATATCAAATTTCCTCATGACTGAATTTAAATGTAGACAGCATATTATACGCAGTTTGTTATCAAAAGATGTATGTCATAAAAAAACAATTAACTTCAGTTTTATACTTTTAGTAAAAGTATGTTTACATCTCACAAAATTGATTATTATTTGTAATTAGCATTATTTGTCAATTCTAAATACCTCACACTGATTAAGAAATAATTTTAAAAAAGTTAACTTCAATTTTTTAGAGGGAAATATTTTAGTACATAATGTTTTTGATTTGAATTATAGAAATTATTCATTCGTTTATACTCATGATGTGAAAATCAGGTTCTTGTTACAATCAAGCAGACGAGAAAAAGTTAATACTTTTATCTTGTTGGTCAGCATTTGGGCAAAAACTTTCTTCGAAATGATACATAATTGCACGACATAAACAGCATTGTTTACAATATAGTTGATAGGGGGAAAACATGTGTCAATCAACATATATGCGTCGTACAATTCCAAACTAAATATGGTTTATTCTTTCATAAAAATGTTATTATCACCTTGAACATCATATGTAAAATGTTTCACATTGTACATGACAATTGTTTCAACAACCATATGTTAACCTCTACTGTCTCCTTTACATAAAAAATAATGATTGCACAATCCTCTATTGTTCTTATCCTATTAATTTTGGTTGCTTAAGTTGCATATATAGTGGCAGTCATTTAATATACATGTACATGTTGTCCTCATTTTTTAAATTCTACTTAGTTCAATTGACAAGAACAACAAATGAAAGGTTTTCACTTTTTTAACCAAAGTAGGTCTGTATGAATTGACCGAAAAATATTACTTTCATAACAATTTCTTAACACCTCATGCTCAGTTTACATATTTTTTTCTCGCCTTTACTAAAAATGGCACAAACGTTCAAACTTTAATGGACGACTTGTTCCTGATTTAAACAAATGTTTTTATCACTTTCTGAATTTTAAATTCAGGTCATTAATAAAATCCTACATGAATGATAATTGGATAACCTTTTACAGAGATTTATCATTATGCACAGATCTTAATTCATACATGTCGGCAGTTATTTTAAATATTTTCATTGTGACTTATGAGAAATTACATTTTCATTTTTATCTCTTATGTTTAGGTCCTAAAAGAATAAAACAAATTCAACTTGCCTTGGTTTTAATCACAGTCTTTTCGTCAATTCGTCAATCATAAATGACAAACAAGAGCATAAGTAATGGATAAAACAAAAAGTTGGGTATACAATGAGACAGTAGTTTAAATACACAAAAAACGAAAGACATCTATATGTTTTTAGGATGTTTGCTACTCAGTTTCAAAATAACAAGCGTTTTAAAAGACTGTTATGAATTGATAGTATATAAATAACGGACCTAAAACAGCAGAAAAAAATAAAGGGTCCGTGAATTTGTTTTCGAGATATAATCCATTGAAAAATTGGCGGGAAGTGATTTTCTCTAGATTTTTCTTACATTTAACATTGGCACCTATTTTCTTTCAAAAACTATGAAAAAATAACAAGGATTTTATAAGATTTTCAAATATGGCTTTTACTATATGTAATAAAATTATGAAAAGAAAAGTAGTGGTGAGCGGGCAAAATATTATTAGCACTACATGGATGAAACCAGAGGATTCCAAATATCTGAAAAAAATTCAAATACAAGAGGAGCGAACATCCTTAAGAGCCATTCTCTGCTATCACCAAAATTCCTTAACAATCACTCTCTACAAATATGCAAATGTTAGTGTGAAATCCACACGGGTATACGTATGTTTGGATCGATCCAAGATGTATGCATCAAGGAAAATATTATATGAGCCATCATAGATATACGTATGCTTGGGTCGATCCAACATGTCTGCGTCAGGAAAAAGACTGTTCTTATTACGTCATTGGTTTATATATTTTTATATTATTATATATCCCTGGTAACATTGTTCATCTTAAGTTGCAGACATATTGGAATGATCATAATATACGTATACCCGTGTGGTTTTAATAATGAAATACGACATTTCAAGCCGAAATACTCTGTTCTAATTGCAATTTCTATATATACTTCTTTTCTAGTAAGGTCTAGTAGTAACTAATTACAGTTTCCTTTTATCTGCTAAATGCACTTAATCTGATTATATGAAACAAAATCTCCTTTGAAAATTCTTACACCTTATTTTCCGCTCTATATGATAACTATAGATAATGCCTGGTTTACTACGTTGTAAATGCCTGAATGAAACTCCTTATAAACGTATTTCTGATTAAAAAGTTGTCTCCCTTAGTACAGGTTACGCCTCTGTGTACAAATTGAAAAGCTTTAGAGGAAAATGTAAAATCCATCCGGATTTGTTTTCATTTCGCACAAACCTTGTCCGAGGGATATATATATATCTTCATAAGAACACAAATGAAAGTATAGTATTTTCGAACAATTGTTTTATTTCTTTAACTTTCGTTTCTCATTTGGTCGACTTGGAAAAACCTATTTCATTATAGCGTACGGACTTAACATGAACATCTATGAATCTTTGGCGCTTTTTCACATCTAACCCAAATAACCAGGTATAATCTTGCATGAGTTATCAATATAAAGTAAATATATCACTCACCCAATTTACCAGATCCGTGTGTTTTACTATCTAAAAGGGAGGCTTGTTATAGTAAGCAGTGATTAATCTATAATTATTAAAATTGTAGTGAAATTTAATAGTAAATCAAATAGTAAAATTATCTTTTTAAGCTATTTAGTTATGTTGTGTATATTCAAAATGCGAGTAGATATATGGTACTCAGTCTGGTAATAGTATGTTTGACCCAGTTATGTCCTACAAATACAGTATCGATTATCAGGTATCAATTTTCTATCAACTATGTTAAGGATATAAATTGTTCTACATTGATTCAATGTTCAAATCAAGAAAGTGAAAAACCTCTTTAGTAACTTACGTTCTTCCTCAACTCGGTCCGGATTGATAACAGGTCTGACCGGAAGTTGTTTCTGTGTCACGGGTATTGTAGTAGTGGTTGCCATAGTCGTAGTTGTTGATGGAATATGTTTTCGTGTAGTGATTTGAGGTTGAATCATTGGTCGTCTTCCGTACTCTTGGTTTGGTCTTCTTTCGTAATCTTGATTTGGTCTTCTTCCATTTTCTTGATATACCTTTATAGGCATATTGATACTGAACAACTTGATTGGTGCTAGTGGATTTCTATACGCTCTTGACCAGCTGTCTGTTGCTGTATGCAGTTCAGGTGCAGTTGTATATATCTGATATGCTTGTGCTGTAGGAGCGTATGTGTTCCATGCAGCAGGAGTAGATTTCTGTGTCGGTAAAGTTACCCATGGGGCTTGCACCGGATTTACTGGATTGTACCAAGTCTGTTCATTTTGTTTAAGCTCTCTGTATGATGGTTCATTAAAACTGTTTTGACTCAACCATGGTACATCATCTTGTGAGAACATTTTTTCTACTTTTGTTCCTATGATATCCCGTCCGTTTAATATGTTTGATTTTACGGATATTTTCACTTGTCCATTCAGATCATTGTCCTCTTCCATGGGGTTGTGTATAACAATTGTTGCCCTTGTTGTTGTTGTTGAAGTTTTTGTAGTTGCAGCTGTGGTGGTTGTTGTCGGTGGTTGTGTTGATGTTATTGTTGTTGACCTTTTTGTGGTAGTTGTTTGTACTGGTTGTTTAGTTTTTGTAACTATTGAAAAAAGAAAATTTACATCATGTCAGCAAATGTATTTGGAATAAATATGTTTTATCTATTTGCAAATTCACTTTTATTCATTTACAGTTGCATATTTGAAACAAATAATAAACAGGCTGGTATAAAGGATTGCTTTATGTTAGTGTTAACGAAATATGAGGTAAACGCGTTACTTGTTCCGTACCGCAATTGAAAAATTTACTTTCATGTAAATGGTTTGAAGAAGCTTTGAAATTTGATATCTTATACACTAAGAAAACAAATATTTCATGAACACGGTAAATACGTCATATTACAACATTCTACTAAAGTAGAGAACTACCAGAAACCTACCTAATTGATTAGGAATTGTCAGCTTTCTTACTGCTTGTAAAAGTTTATCTACGGCCATATGAAATGGTTCGATATAAAAGTATTCATTTGGACTGAAAGCCATAGATTTCAATTGCTTCTCGTCTACCAGCCTCCCAACGCCTACACTGAATAAATGAATTCCAACGGATTTCAAAGCCTCGCTTTCACCTTTACTAGCATCCGGGTACTTTGACCGCCCATCTGTGACGATAACACCTATTTGAGTCATTTTAGAACGCCCTTCAGTAAAAAACATTCGTTCTAGTTTATTAATTCCTAAGTCAATTCTACTTCCATCTTGTGGCTGTTGCAGTTGATGAAGACGTGTTATAAGATTATTTTTATTCGTTGAATGAGCAAAACTAATGGTATCACCAATGTCTGAGCTGACAACAATGACTCCACAACGTACCCTGTCGGGTCCAATGTCAGTCTGGGTAATAAAATGTTCTACTAATTTCTTTTGTTCTAGAAACTCTCCATCCGAGATGCTGTCTGATCCATCTAACAGAAATATTATATCCCCTTGTTCTGTGTATCCTATTATATGTATAAGAAGAAAGATGTGAAAAAAGATAAATTTTAAAAAAAGATTTAAAAAAAAGATGTAATTTTCAAAAACTCATTGCGATTTCGGTTTGATTTGTGTTAAATAGTGTGTGCTTCTGGAATACATCTCAGTTGAACATATGTAATTTGACGGATTCGTTTTGAGTTTTAGATTAATTATGAATCGCATTCGGTTGGTGCATTCGTAGCAAGAGTTGCTTAACGTCTCAATGCATATAATCTCATTCGATTCCGACTCTATTATATTTCAATTGACATCGCAATGCTTACATATGCCTTTCCTGAATACGACACACTCTTATACCTCATTTTGTTGTAAGATGTTGCTTATTATGAGAGCCTAATTGATGGATTGATAAAATCATTTTTTGTCAGTTTTGAAATCAACCTAAGTCTTCCAATAAAACATAGAGATTTTGCAGTTTCATCTTTATGTTTCTTTTTAAAACTCAAAATACCACTTTAGAAGGAATTTTCAAAATTTCAGAATTAAAAACCTAGGAAAAAAGATTTTTTTTCAAAAGGGAGATTTAATACTTTCGTTCGTTCTGAAAGTTGTAGAGGACAATTTTCGAAATATTTGACCTCAGAGTTTGGAAATGGTTCATGCTGCAAGAGGTTGAAATGCTCCATCAAAGTTAAGCAAAAATTACACAACTAATATAATGTTCGGTAAACACGTAAATTGTAGCACCCCCGCTTTTTTGTTGAGTTCGTGTTGCTCAATCTTTTGTTTCCTATGTTGTTGTTTTTTGTGTTCTGTTGTTTGTCTTTTCGTCTTTTTTTTTTTTTGCCATGGCGTTGTCAGTTTGTTTTCGACTTATGCGTTTGAATATCCCTTTGTTATCTTTCGCTTCTTTTTTAAATTTTATACAATGTACATTAAACAAACGTAAAACTTTCAAATAGTTAATCCTAATTATTTCTGTTTATTTTTTACTGATGTAGTAACAGGTAACTACTAACGATATTATCCAAATACATTATCAAAGCAGCAGATGTGCAATAAATAAAAAGTTTTTGAGTTTAAAAAACAGAAACCGTGCTTAGAGAGTGATCTAACTACTGTATCAAACAAACTTAAGATGATATATTTTAATATTTCCAAGAAAAGCCCAAGATGTGTTTCTTACGTATATTAAATGTGAGTGAGATTAACTTTTTTTATTCGAGCGTCACTGGTGAGTATTTTGAGACAAAATGCGCGTCTGGCGTACACAATTATAAGCCTTAAGTTTTCACATGTTATTATGGAACATGGTGATAGTTTTATGCAAAATGGAAATTCGAAATAAATGTATTTGTTATAAACATAAGGATAGATAAATCTTCATCAGTATCTCAGAGGAAGCTCTTTCTACACATATGAACATTGCAACCAAAAGAGTTCTGAATCGAACTAAAACAGTCTTGCGTTAAGTTTTCCCGCGAAATTTGTAACCTTATATCTTCTAAAAAATCATTATTTATGAAACATCACTAAGACATGTCAAAAGTCTATCCTAAATAGTCGTATTTAAAAACATGAACTGAAAATTATGAATAATTGTTAGAATCATTGTAGCAATGAATCTAGTTAAACAACTAGAACAAAATTCATCGGAATTGAATAAGGTTTTTTTCTGTATATCGAGGGGGTGTTATCTTTAATAAAATACACATCACAAATTCGGAAACAACATTTGATAAGTTTATGTGACAAATTTGTTTAACACTTCCCTAAATTCTGCACTTGGTTCATCATTTTTTCATATAAAAACTTTTTTACTAACTTTAAATATTCATTTATTTCTCTCTGATTGAAATTAAATGTATATTATCAATTATTTGCGTCATTCTAAGATACAAATACACCAGGGAACATGACAAACTATAACTACAGCTGAATTACAGTATTGACCTTGTATATAAATGAGAGATACAAGGTCAATGTTAATTTTGTCAGTTTTTATGGACTTCACCTTTTTGAATTTGCCTTGGAGTTTGGTATTTATTTTGTTTTTACTACTCTCTTTTGAACAGTGATAACATGATTTATTCCTATGAAATGTTTTAAGATTAAGACAAGAGACATTTGCAAAATCGGATATTTTTGTGTCTTGATAATAGCCTTTTATTCAAATGCAATACAGTTTATAGAAAGTCTTATCACTGGTTATAATTTATGCACTATTTTAACAGGACTATAACACGGATGGTGTAAATAATGAAACAGGGGATTCACGCCCTTCCGAAGCACTGCAGTCACATCTGATTTTTCGTGGATTCTTGACTATTACATTTTCTGTTGAGTCGACTTTCATATTCGTGATTTTTTCTGTAAATTTCTAAAGTCATAATGCCTTTGATATATCGTCACAGTTAGAGTCTAATGTTCAATGATGTCATTTACGCAGACTCAACTCGAGGCAGCCGATACATCTAATTCATATCAATAACTCGAAATTGGTCTATTGTGTTTTTTAACTCTAACAATTGTTTGCCTTTTCTCTATTGACCCTGGTATTGTCTGTCATTCTTCGGTTTCTGGTTTTGATTGACCTCTTGGTATATTTTTAACTTGTGTATTCTTCATAGAAGAAAGTCAGGTATTTAATGCGGACTATCTTTTGAAATTATTGTAGATGGACTTCTGACTTTTGCAAACTGATTTCTAAATTGTAAAATCACCTGTTATCTTAGGTGATAAAATGAATAATCCCGTCTTTTTGTAGATCTGTATTTTTGGTAATTCTTTATTGTCATATAAACATATAGTTGTTTTGTGACAAACAATAGAAACAAAATTTAACAAAGAATCGAAAGTCTGACTTTGTAGGTTTTATATTAACTCATCATAGATACCAGGATTAAAATGTTGTACGTGAGACGTGATTTTCGTCTAAAAGAGTCTCATCAGTGATGATCGCATCAAATAAGTTATAACTGCCAAATAAAGTACACAATTGAAGAGCATTTATATGTATGCTGTCCATTTTGTTTGAAGTGTGCTAAAATGCGGCTTATCTTTAATTATACATATTGCAGGTATATAATATAAGATATTTAGATATTGTTACCATCAGCCGAAGTCGACATTATCCGTAAGCAAAAAATCATGAAAGCAACATACTGGATGATATTTGACCTCATCATTGTTTTCTGAAAAATATTACCAAACACATACAAATTAACAGAAAATATATGACAATGATAAAGATGACAACTTATTACAATGTAAACATAAAAAGTTACTTGGAGATGCGTTCAGAGTACTAAGTATATCATATATTATCAATTTGATTACTTTTCATATGAGTTTGATTGTTTATAATTGATGTAATGAATAAATCAAATAGCACTATGAATCATCTTAAAATTTTTATGGAAATAGATTTCAATTAAATAGTGAAAGGTTTTATCATGTCATACTTAGGTTGATGATGTCACAGTATGACATACTGTTTTCCTTACAACTTTTTTTTTCATTTTTGCTGTTGATAATGTAATACAGCTCTTGTTATAGATACCGAATTGTTGGTCTATTTAAACTATCAGCTTTGGTAATGAATGATAACTGTCTTCTTTTGTCACATCGTGTATTTTAAGCGTCATGTGTCATGGAAAACCACATGTTAAATGGCTAGTTTAAGCCATGTTACAAAAAAATAGACCCCCAGCAAATATGAATATATTGTGTCCGCTAAAATACGTGCAATTAAAGGTACTTATCAACACATACCTATTGCTGAAGACGGTAAAGTGACCTTTAAGATGTCTTTTTGTTTCTTTTGTAATATGGTTGCTTTCTCATTGACCTGTATCTCACATATTCTTTAGTTCATTTAAATGATCTTCAATTTAATACAAATGTTATTATTGTATGTAGGTTTTATTAGGAACGTTAGTGACTCTTTCCATTTAATTTCCCCCAGGTTATTAATATACTATGACCCTTTCAGAGTATCTATTTTTGGTGAGGTTCGTGCTCAATCATTGGCTCTCAGTTTATTGTTTGTTGTATTGTTGTTTTATCTTTTTTTTTTTCGTTTTTGTTTTCTTTAGCCATGGTGACGACTGTTTTTGTTTGCTGGGTATGTTCTTCCTTTTTTAGATAAAACATTATAATATGAAAAACAGCAAATGAAAATAAAACTTTTCGCACATTCGATGCTCTTTTCTGGATTTACTTGCATCAGGAACGGTCAAACCTGAAATTTTGAAAGTCATGGACATAGAATACGTTGAAATGTTAGGAGATGTATGACAAGACGGAACATAAAAAAGAATGGCCAAATTATTCTTAGGTCAACTTTGCCTGAGTGAGTTATCAAATAACAGCAATATTGATTTTGACCCCTTATCTGGCATAAAGCGTCCTTTCAGTTTAACGTGTAATGATAAAAATATGTAATCTCTTACCTTAAAGTGTATGTTTAAGTGGAGCCAGCTCCTTTTAGAAGTATTTTTGTCCGTATCGGCCCGCCGATCGGAAATCAGACCAAACAAATCAATCAACGAACCGTATCATGACCAACATCAACTGTGATAAAGTCGTCCTTACATAAAATTACATTGTATTTCAGGTCAAATTAATTTGCATATGAAATTGAATAATTTGCATGTTTTTGACAGAACAACATGAAGCGTTTCTCTAATTAAATTTATTGTCTGACACGTTAGTTTTTCTTTTTTAACACAAGACAAATCACTTACATTTTGAAGGGTAATGTCGCAAATACATGAGGTACCCTAAAGGAACTTAAATGTATATGTTGACGGAGTAGCACGTGGTCTTTTTTTTCTTGGTAATTTCGGATTTATTTAATTAAAACAATGAATCTTATTCCTACTGATGCATGTATGCAACTTCTGTTACATTTCATGCTACTTAATTTTTCAAAATAAAATATCTTTCTTATATATTTGATGATATAACCTTTACTTTGCCTCTAAAGTAGGTGCACAATTGCACATTGCCTCTGATAAAAATTATGTTTAAATAAAAACTGTGACAGTCTATTTTTTGTTCAATATTAGTTTTAGCACTGATTTACATGTATTTATTCCAATAAAACCTTCAAGCTGCATTTATAATTGTTTCACTTGATTTTATTAATATTTACTGACGCAAATGAAACTTCGATAGAGTATACATTGTTTTCTTCTATTCATAGCAACGTAGGAAAAAAAACGATATGTTCTAATGAAACAAATATCTACAAATAAACACACGATCAAAACGTGAACAACAACCGGGGACTGTTCTGGCTTCAACAACTGGCAAAGACTCATAGTGAAAGTTTCGATAGACCCTCCGAAAACAAGATGTAAAATTCAAAGGGGACGACCAGTAAAAAGAAGTATAGAGTTATTAACAATAACAACAATTAAACATCGACAATCATTGGACTACTGCGATATGGGACAAGCCAGCAAATAAAGGCGTGGCAATCATTGTCTTAACTGAAGAATTATGTGAAAATAACAAAAGTGTCAGAAATGATAGAATTCATTGAAACGGACTTAAATAATCGAATTAATGCTTTACACCGCATAATCTAAAATTGAAAAAGAAGCACTCATTATCCTTCTTATAATGCCCCTCACGCCTACAAACAGTGAAATCTGGTTCACAAAATAACTACTACTGCCGAATACATTACGATATTCCAATGACTACATTATAACATATAACAAGGCAGAAGATAATTAGTCTAAACGCACATTTAGTAAATACAAGCCATTGAAAAGCATACGCCCGTCTCCTTCCAATCATTATGCCAGAAAAGCTATTGCACAGATGACACCAAAAGGTTTCTATGTATGCAGCTACTAAGTAAATGGGTAGTACACCAAAAGGTTTAAATAATATAACAGTAAATTTCTGTGCTTTATGGAAAGTGGTGTTAATTTGAGAAATTTCAGATCTCTGTAAAAAAAATTCACAACTTTTAAACAGGATTAAGAGCTTAACAAATTGAAAATGTCCCAGACCGTACTTTGATCTTTAGAAGTCTCTTGCTTTTCATGTCTCATGAACGTACTCATTTATCTCCTTCTATTTTTATAGAATGTCTTTCTGTCATCTTATTGAATTTTGATGGCACCAATTGTCACTTGATTCTTCACATATTCATTGTTCCTGGTATTTTATCCATTATTTTTACTTTTTGCGTGAATTTTTCTTATCATTTACCTTCTCTTTAATGGATTTGTTGTTTCAAAAACAAATATTCCAATTTTATTTTGTAACTCACCTGGCCCAAAGGGCCAAGTGAGCTTTTCTCATCACTTGGCGTCCGTCGTCCGTCGTCGTCGTCGTCGTCCGTCGTCGTCCGTCGTCGTCGTTAACTTTTTACATTTTGAACTTCTTCTAGAGAACCACTGAATGGAATAAAACCAAACATGGCATGAATGTTCCTTATGAGGTGCTGACCAAGTGTTGTTACTTTGAAGCCGATCCATCATCCAAGATGGCCGTCAGCGGGGGACTTATTTTAACATAGGACCCTTTTGGAAATACATACAAATGTCTTCTTTTAGAGAACAACTGAATGGAATGAAACTAAACATGGCATGAATGTTCCTTTTGAGGTGCTGACCAAGTGTTGTTACTTTGATACCGATCCATAATCCAAGATGGCAGCCAGCGGGGGGACTTAGTTTAACATAGGACCCTTTTGGAAATACATACAAATGTCTTCTTTTAGAGAACCACTGAATGGAATGGAACTAAACATGGCATGAATGTTCCTTTTGAGGTGCTGACCAAGTGTTGTTACTTTGAAGCCGGTCCATAATCCAAGATGGCCGCCAGCGGGGGACTTAGTTTAACATAGAACCCTATGGGAAATACATACAAATGTCTTCTTTTAGAGAACAACTGAATGGAATAAAACCAAACATGGCATGAATGTTCCTTATGAGGTGTTGACCAAGTGTTGTTACTTTGAAGCCAATCCATCATCCAAGATGGCCGCCAGCTGGGACAATGTTTAACAAAAGACCCTATGGACAATTTAATACATACAAATGTCTTCTCTTAGAGAACCGCTGAATGGAATGAAACCAAACATGGCATGAATGTTCCTTATGAAGTGCTGATCAAGTGTTGTTACTTTAAAGCCAATCCATCATCCAAGATGGCCGCTAGCTGGGGACAATGTTTAACAAAGGACCTTATGGACAATACAAACAAATGTCTTCTCTTAGAGAACTACTGAATGGAGTGAAATCAAACATGGCATGAATGTTCCTTAAGAGGTGCTGACTAAGTGTTGTTACTTTGAAGCTGATCCTTCATCCACGATGGCCGCCAGTGGGGGGACTTCCTTTAACATAAGACCCTATGGGAAATGCATACAAATGCTTCTTCTAGAGGTGCACTGAATGGAATGAAACTAAACATGGCATAAATGTTTCTTATGAGGTGCTGATGAAGTGTTGCTACTTTGTTGCCGATTTACTGTTCAAGATGGCCACCAGGATTTTTAATTAAATTACAGGGCCAATATTAAACCAAATTTGGCCTCACTCATTATTAGGGTATCTGTTATGATTTTAATCTATTTTTACATGATTTCCAAAACCAAAGTAGAATCAGGTGAGCAACACAGGCTCTTGAGAGCCTCTAGTTTTTAAAGGATGTGTTCTCACCAAATACCTTTACTCATATAATCATCAATATATTTCTCTTATTATATGAGAAAAAGAAAAAAAATGACGAACTCCAAGGAATATTCAAAACGGAAAGTCCCTTATCAAATTGCAAATTCAAAAGCTTAAACAAAAGGGTGTATGCAGTTCTGTGACCTACACATATGTAAAATAAGAAAGAAAAATCTGTAAAGCAAAATACAGGAAACAAAGGCGTCATTCTTTGTTTCAGCGTGACTTTAAACTGGTATATTTAAATTTTCGACTGTATATTTAGTTGATAAACAAAAACAATTATCGGACATCCGGTCAAAAAAGTGTTCAAGAGCTCTATTCTCATTACCGTTTGAAAGCATTCAATCACATATGTAATTGGTATTCTGTACGTATCGGCATTGAAACCATTCCCCACGTCCTTTACTTTTTGAAATGAACAACCTATGACATTAAGGTCGCAGCAAACGACTTAATCAGGTTATATGTGTGTAGTTATCTGGGACAAATTTTATTGACGAACTGTGGTTCATTTATTTCTTTATAAAATACAGACATCAATCTAAACGTCATAACATGAAGATTGTGCAGTCAACCTGTGCTATATTAAAAGTTTTTGTTTTATGACTGTCTTATTTTAAAGATGATCGCACGAGATTGCAGATCTAATCAGAAAAACTAACGTAGCAAGTACTCACAAATGTTATTGTATCGCAAATGGTCGTTCGTTCATTATATGATCGCTTGTAAATTCCATTTGCTTTTGTAATCCGCAAATATTAAATAAATTTGATTTTAAGCCAGGTTCAGAATAATTTTCAAATTATTTTGATAGTCCAATGGTATTTTCCCGAATTTTCATTACAAATAATGTAATATATCTAAATGTGTATAAGTTGACATTCTTGATAAATTCCAATTGCTATTGATATCATGAATAATTCCGCCGATAGCATGTATAGCCCTCCATTTTCTTTAGGATATAAATGCCTTTAACTTTGGTGTATTCTAAAGAAATTATAAAAAAGCAGTATATAATGATTTTGGTAGGGGCTCTACAGTTGTTTCAAAGATGCAAACGTTAGTGAGATTAAAGCTACAGACAGCCTACAGAATGGTAAATTTGTCAAAGGTGAAATTTGCCATAAGTTGCAAAATAGACAAGATGTTCGTACACAAGACTCAATCGTCTGTCATAGCTTTGCTTGGTTGCAAAAAATATCATATCTTTGGAAAGTAAAAAACACAAAAAGATCAATATCAGGTTTAAATTGTGAACTGTCCTTTGACAAAAATGTTTTACAATGTCAATAGACATTTACTTTTGTAATCTGGCACGAATAAAAATTATAACATTAAACGAGTGTAGTCCAGTGACCTTAAAGAAAGCGAACACAGACAAAAATCTATCATGCAAACACTCTATAATAAGTAATTAAATAAAACCATCAATAGCCCATCCGGTAACCAAAAAACTAAAATCTAGCTCTTTGCACTTAATTTAGAAAATTTAAACAAAATCTAAAGACAATCCTATATGTAACATTTATTCTGTATGTATTGGCATTAAAACAATCGCGAAGACCTTTACTTTTAAAAATTTTAACACCGTCTGTCATTAAGATTTCAACAAATGACTGAAACTGGTTATAAATATAATTAATTGGGACATATTATATTGACAAACTGTGTCTCATTAATTTTCCTGTTAACGACAGGTGTCAATCCAAACGTCATGACAAGTAATGTTGGTATTCTTAACTTCCACACAGATACATCAACCAAGGTTTGAAGATACATTGTTGTACCACAGGCGCAGCTGTTGTAAAGCACATGTTCTTTCTTGACGATTGTCAAATTTCAAAACTGATCGCACGGGTACATTTATGCAGGATCTATTCAGAACACTAGAGTTGAAAGTTACCACAAATTTTATTGTATCGCAATC